AGGTGATGCAGTGCATATAAGGACTATGAAATAATTTGTTGCAGGACACCGATGAGTCAGTCGGTATTTTTTTATCCTTATTGACAAGTATGATAGCAATCCATCGGACGCGGACGGTTGCGCTACGGTGCGGGATCGAACCGAAGACCACCATCGTATTGCATAGCATCCCTACCCATCACGCTACAATCCCCTTATCTGGCATATATCAATGGATTTTCCGCTTTCATACAGAACGTTTATGTCCGTCTAATGCACCAGAACAGCAGAACCTTCCTCATAAATCCAGTTCACTGTATAAAGACAGGGCATAGTTGATTTCGGTTCTGGTTTAATATCCTATTCGGCTATCATAGGTGAACATAGTATGTCGACAACGCCTATTTGTCTCTAAGTGCCATGTGCGTTGAACAATATACATACCTTTAATGATGCTGAGATATTTGCAAAACTCCGGACCGCAGGTGTCTGCGGTGGGGAACGAACGCGCTATTGTCGTTTCCGGAGAGTAACGCGTTCACCACCACACCATGCAGGTCCTTCGTTTTGCCTGTCTCTCAGCTAGTTCTATCGAACTTTTTTTGTCGTCGACAATCACCCGTTAGCGGGATTGATCTGGGGAGCCCAAATCGGCAACGATCCCAGCTAAGTTGAGGCTGTAGTTATAATCACAATTTTAACTTACTATTTACTGCCTAGATAGGCGAAACGAAGGACCCGCATGGTCTGGTGATGAACGCGGCGCTCCCCGGAAAGGACAATAACGCTTTCGTTGCCCACCACAGACACCTGCGGTCCGGAGTTTCGCAAATATCTCTGCATCATTGAAAGTTATATTTCACAATATATACTCTTCCATTAAAAATGAGTAGGCAGTAAATAATAAGTTAAAACTATACATACCGTCCATAAGTGCACATATCAAAAATGACTAATCTTTTTGCTTGGTTCTTCACCTTGAAATCCGACTTTTCTATTTTTTCTTGTAATTTGTGGACCTTTATGTATCCCTTAACACATTTTTTCAGAACACTTTCTCAATTTTTGTTTATGGAAGGGACTACTTCGATATCACTTAATCACGTTGCCCTTGGCTACTGGTGCTTTTAACATATACATATACATACATATATATATATATGCATATCTTTGTTAATGTTAATGTTATGTTAAGTACTTCTGCTTTTTTCAGTCATTTATATCCGCCCATTCTGATATTCCATACGATATCAATGGTCCATCATAGCGCTTCGGAGAGTGGAAGTGGAAACTGTTGAAGAAGTGAAAGTCCTCACCGATCTCTGTCTTCTGGTAGGAAATGTTAAATTACAACGGCCAATGGATTATTGGGAGGGACTCTTGATATATATATATTTGCATTCTATAGCACTGCATTCAAAGTGGTGGCAACTGCCAGAAATTTGCAAACACGTTAGCTCATCTTCGTTGGGCTAGCAGTAAAACACATTGAAGACAATAGAAGTCTACAAAATATGAATAAAATGGAAGGTTTTAAATTGCGTAATAACTGATCAATTGACTTATTTCTCCATGCATTTGTAATTTGCTGCCTAGGATGTTTCAAGTCGCATGAAGTTCACTCTATCAATAGGACAATCTATACCACCGTTTTGACGAGTACTACTCTAAATCTCAAAGATGAGCTGTTTTATCTAACATTTGGTTCACATTCTGTATGTCATTTACGGTTCAGGAGACATGGATCAAGGGTTATTTGGAAGGCGCGTGAGATTCATGATATAGCTGATACGTCTTAGCTGCCCGTGATAAGAGTTGTTGGAGCTGTTGAGTCAAACAGCTATACACAGAATTCTGGATCTCATCAGTTAATCGGTGACTTCCCTGAAACACTCGAACAAGCCCCATCACTCTCCTTCTACATAATTCCTCTGTATAATACACAGTCATGCCTATTCCTATATAATACATGCATGATACGACCCATGTAATCAAAAAACCTCGATTCAAGTGGTTTTTCATCACACCGTGGGCTTTCTACGAACCATATTATTTTCCGAGGTATTCGTAGTGCTAGGATTTTCTGACACTATTGAGGTAAACTCTATATTCATTCCACTGGATCTGGGCGAGAAAATTACAGTGTCGTCGAGAAAACGAAGATTCGATATTTTAACTGGTGAGCATGGTTTTTTTCGTCACAGCGGGCAAAATATGGACAGAAATTATATGAACATCGAATTTGACTCCGTACATTGCTCCTGCTTGGTTGGTTGATTAATCGCGATAATCGTCCTCCTCCTAGAATTCGCAGTGCTAGACCTCCCTTCAACGATCCACAGGACCATCAACTAAATATAATGAGTGTGCCCTAGCAAAGGCACCTTGGGATTCCAGGAAAAACCTTACTCGGATGGCATTCACCATGTCAGTAAGTGACGAAAACAGATCGGAAGTGACCTCATGAGCTGACCTGACAGTAGCTGCCTATGTTAGTTGAAAAATAACGAAGCGAATTGGATAAAAGCTGCGGTAATCAGATGTCGGCATGAGCTACCTGTGAGTTTACCTTATCCGTGTAGCCAACTGTTCCAGTAATAGGCGCAGATTGCATATTTGAATTGTAAAATACATTCCCATCAGTACGGCTTCGGTCCCTGCGGTTCTGCAAAACGATGTTAGAAAAGAAGAAAGAAGATGAGAACAGCTCGAGTTGACGGGTGAGGTGAACTCTATAACGGAGATTTTTAAACTAGACGTAAAGATTTTTTACATTCTTGTTGAGCAAACGCAAGGTGTTATTTTATTCTTTATTCAAGAATAAGGTGACGTTTCGGCGGATTACGCCTTCCTCAGGGCGTGGAAAGGTCAAGTTGACCGCAATCTACCCAGCCAAACATTTCCATAACCGAACGGAGAAAATGCTAAACCAGAATTTCAATCAAATTGAACATAGAATGGCTTCATCGCATGCTCACCGCTTTTTATGAGTCTTCCACTGAATATATCACCGACCGCACGGAGTTTACATGGAAGCATAGTGTGCCTCTCACATTAAAACAACAGTCTTAAATACTGCCTCATATCACGCCTGTTTATGAAGCATTCCTCCTTGCAGTTCATTTTTGGATTCTTGGAATTAATCCACAATTCCTCGAGAATTTTTCGCACTCGTGTTTTTCAACTCCTGTGCGAGGATCGTCACTTCTACTTCAAAATCTTCCCCGTTATGTCTCTGTGTCCTATGCGTGCCTGGTGGAGTACTTCGTTTAGCTTTAAATTTGCCCATTAGGTGTTCTTTTATACGTAGACAGAGTGGTCCACCCGTTTCGCCAACGTATTCGTCTCCGCACGCTTTACAAGAGATATGTTAAGGAATGGAAACTAGTTTTCTTTCGGTTTCTCTCGGGTGAACTTGATATAGTTCCCAGGATCGACTTTCTGTTAACCTCGGCATTGGAATATGAATGCGTCGTTTTCTTGTTCAGCAATCGCGAGGCTTTTAAACAGCATACATTTGCTTCCATAGAAAAACACGATACAATGCAACACTATCTGACGTTTCGGCAGTATCGCCTTCTTCAGCGCCGCTTTTTCGTGACTTCCAATGAGGAAGTTTAGAACAGCTGATTATAGTCGCACATGGTTGACGACGTCGTCAGTATCAGTATCACTTCTATGGAAGTGAACTTGACATACTCTGACTGTTCGTTCAACAACTCGAAACATTTGTCCATTTCCTCTTGTGTTGAGCAAAGGACAAAGCAGTCATCTATATATCTACAGTAGAGTAGCGGCCCAAGATCGGCCAACGGTGCTTCCACATTAGACATAAACGCAATGGCAAGACTTGGTGCCAGTCGTTGTCTCATTGCCAACCCTTTTATTTGAGCGTAGTACTTTCCGGACCATCTGAAGATTGAGCAGCTCAAGCATTCTTTTAAGAGTGCCATTAACTGCTCCACCTTGAAGCCATACATGTCTATTTCTTCTTCGTGTTGTATAAGGAGTTCGAATATGGCTTGCATAGCGGTGTCATTCGACACGTCTGTATAGAGGGCGGTGACGTTGAAGGACTCCATCACGTACGCGCTGTTGGGTCGCGCGTTACGTAAATGATCCAGGAACATTTGTATGCTCGTTAGATGGGCTGGAATGTACTTAAACAACTGGGTAAGTATTAGGGTTATTAACCACGTTATTCTATCCGTTGACCCGTCCACGCAGCTAATGATGGGTCTGACCTTAAACAATGATGGATGGGTAGACGCAAGATCATCGCTGAATACTAACTTATGAGTTTTTATAAGCAAATACAACACGGAACATGTTGGTATATCAACTTTTAGTTGAGAGATAACTGATGGTTTTAAACCAGTACTCCTTGCTACTTTGACTTATTTGTTATTCGACTTTCGGTATTTAGTTTTAAACTCCTCAGATGATGGGCGATAAAGTGAAGGATCTTCAAGATGCTTTTTCGTTATCCCAACAACTGATGAAAAATTACCACAAACTCTCCACCCTTATCACCAACGGATAGTCTTATATTTTTCAATCTTATCAGTTCTCGTAGCTCCCGTATACCATAGTACGTTTTTGCACTTCAGTGAAGTTGGAGCTGTATCTTTTCGCGCGATAGTGATTAAGGGCACAAAGTTTCATACCCAGGTAATTCCAGAGCAATTTTCGAGCTATTCGAACTTTCTTGTCCATTCTCAGTGCGATGATCGATGTGTATGCCAGGTAATCGATAGCTACCAAGAAGTAAGGAGTTCACACATATCATTCAGGTCGTATAATGTCTTAGAATTATTGCAAATAGTGGTAGGTTTCCGATACTTTTGCTAAAATTGCCTTCATGCTGCAATTTATTCCAACAATTCACGTATACACAAACGATGGAAGTACAATGTAGATAAGATTACGGTAGAAAAAACTTCCAAGCTCAAAAACGAAAGAAAAAGTGATTGGTGACAACGACTTTTACTGCGTCGAGCAGTGAAATAAGAAGTTTGTATCTATTTAGCAGCAGCCTCGATATCCTCAACAATCCGACTTGCTTCTTTAGCCGATGGAAACCGTATTATGTATGTAGATATCTCTTCCTCACTTGCTGGATAAGTTAGCTGGAAGATTAATTAATACAGAATATATATTGATATAAATTTAAGTCAAGCAATGGTTTACTGCACATTTGGAAATAATAGCGCAGTAACAAGTTCGCAAAAACACTTTGAGTTTTAATATCTCTGGTCTAAAAAGATTCGCCTTTCAAATACATATTAAATATGACGTACCCTAATCTTTTCTCCTTTTTCGTCAACTTTTGATACCTTCATTGCTTTGTTCATGAGAGCATTGATCCACACCGTACCTGAGAACAAGTCCATTCCAAATATGAATTGTGACATAAGAGTTAGAAAACAAATAACATAATACAAACTAGTCCTACTAACCAATAGCTGTAGCTGCTCGCACCAAAACACTCTTCTTGCCATCGACCTCTTTCAGGTGCAACATTCCAATTCCCACTTTTGAGTACTGTTTATCAACAAGTTTGAAGACCGAACATCTGCAAAAGAAAAGGATTAAAAACGAAAACCGAAAGAAGGATTACAAAATTAAATCCGAATTCAAAGAAGAAAGCATTCCGAAGTAAGAAAAACCTTTCAATTTTACCTACCTAGTGGAGAAGACCGCATCGGCCTCTTCATTTTCCACTACTTCGACCTTCGGTGGTACATATTCCTCCTCATCTAGAAAAAGAAGATATCATATGGGATCTTAACACGCGTTCATTGACGATGTGAAAAAACTCTAAAAGAAGGACTAAACTCGAGAAACTTTCGAATACAGAACTTGGTATTAAACAACTTCATCACGGTTCTTTCCGCTTTGCTAAGTTCATGAAACAAACAAACACGGGGAAAATAACAACAAGTCGACCATAACCTGCAAACGCCTACTAAGAAAAAAAAATACAAATTACACGACACACCCAGGAAAACTCGTTCCGAGTTCTGATGATTGCCATAGGCTTGGTTAAGCACCTATGCAAAACCTAACGGCAATTTCCCTTCAACGACTGTGGCAAATCATGGTGTTGGACACAACCAGACATGAATATATTCCTGTAGCATACCAGTTGACTGTGATTCAATTAGTGCTTTCTTCCAAGTGAAACATGAGCCACCGTATTTGCAAATAAAATGCAATGTTCGGAAGAAGGATGGAGAACAAAGTATAAAGCGGTCGGAGTTGATCACTCTTTTAGGGAACGCCCTCTCAACTGTTTCAAGTATTACAATGTTATACCTTTTTGCTTTCTGCCTACTATAATTTCGCGGCAGGGTACTAAGCGAAATACAACCACAACGTTGCTGAGATATTTGCAAAACTCTGGACCGCAGGTGTCTATAATGGGGAACGAATGCGCTATTGTCCTTTCCGGGGAGTAACGCGTTGGTCAGCGGGACTGACGGGTGATTGCTGTGGCAAAAATCGATAGAAATAGCTGAGAGACAGGCGAAACGAAGGACCCGCATGGTGTGGTGGTGAATGCGTTACTCCCAGGAAAGGACAATAGCGCGTTCGTTCCCCACCATAGACACCTGCGGTCCAGAGTTTTGCAAATATCTCAGCAACGTTGTGGTTGTTTCAAGTATTTCCGAGATTAATGAATGTAAATACGGTCTGTATAATGAGTTGCGAAAGCTCATCTATGAAACAAGTCAGCATTCAGAGATGTCCGGTCCAAATTAGCCGATTCTGAATGAATCGGAGGCATGCTTGGCCATACCCTCTCCCATGTTTCATTATCGAAGAACAGCCAACGTCTCCAATCCAAATGAATGAAAGCACATTCATATACATCAACACCACTCCAACAGATACTTTTGAATAAGATTGTAAGTATGGAATTGAACCAACAAGCACTTTGTATTCTATAGAAATTCAAACCACCGGGCTAAATAGACCTCCTTCGGAGGAAAAGGAAGAACAGTTCGTGTTCTGAGGTCCATAGGTGGAGTTAAAAAAGCATCTGGGAACAAGGATATGAGGAAGTAATGTGCTTTGTAGTGCAATGATGACTCGATGTGATTCATTTATCCTCTGAGGAAGCAGAAGAAGAGATTTGACAATATCAACTCACCTTCTCGTTTTTCTCTTTCAGTGCTCGACTGTGGTAATGTACCAAAAGAAAATTTCAATCCGCCAGATGAAGCATTATTCACCACCGTATTTCCGAACGAAGGGAAAGTTAAGTTGTTCCTAAACTGAGCTTTTTACACTAAACGACGACTGTGTGACTCTAGTATAATGTTCGGATTAAATGTGCTCACTTTTCACCATCTTTTTCCTCATCCTTTGAAGTGCTAAACGATGGAAATGAAAGTGAAGGTCTTAAGAAATAGTCTTTTGTAAAATACGTTCATTATTACGAAAACAATACGTTACTAGCCTAGTGCTATTAAATAATACTGAGTACTTCTTTTCATAGAGTCTCCTCAAATAGTGTGTTGTGAGAATATACGCCTAGTAAACCATAGAGTTCTAAACAGTCCACTGTAAAAGATAGCTTCTAAGCTTATGACTTCACTAAGTGATACCACGACATAACATCTAACAAATCTTATTCTAATTTGTCTTAAAGCAAAGCAGCAAAACCATTAAGTGAACCATTATTGAGCTACAATCCGCCATCGAAATTAAGACTTTGTTCATATTCGTTAAGCTTCTCTTGCTATAGGATGGACCCTTTTATTTCTGAGATGCAGATGATCTCAATGGTTTCCTTTACATAAGCCGTGGAATGTCGGGCTAAGAACGTCACACTATTATTATCGCTTGCATATAAACGGATCACAATGTATAAAAAAAACTGTTACAAATAACACAGCCCCTCTGGCATTTTATGTGGGCAAAGAGGTGCTTAGAATTCAGAAAGTATTTTGCACAGCCTAACGACCCACCAAAGAAGTATCTGTTAAGCTGACGAACCCAGATATCCATGGTAAGCTGTCCACTTAACAAGGTCACAACCTTAACTAAGACGTCGACTTAAACTCGGACAATGCCGAGATTGTAAGCCTTACTCAAACCGCGATACAGTGATGTCTTTCAAGATTTTCTAAAGAGCAACCGGAAAAATTGCTTTGTGCAGACCTAAAACCAACTTTCACTAGTTTTCTTCTGTCATAATCTTCAAACCGTTTCTCCACAAAAACATCTGTCAAGGCGACGGTTGACATGAGTGGCGAATACGTCCACCAATATTTGTAAGTAACCGCACAAAATAGTTGCAATTATATTACGTCCACTATGCCGTTTTTCTTGTCAACCTGTCGTAAACTCTTACCATTACAAAACGAGTTCACCTACGTTGTTCTTCTGATAAGTATTCCCTTGGTTCTTGAAAAAGAGCTACTTTTCAACTAATATCTGGTCTAGTTTCGCCTTGTGTATGCATTTATCTTCCAGAAAACATTAATCAAGGGGTACGTGGGAGATGCATACGACATGGGATGAGATGTCGTCAAGGCAAACAGGTAAGTGTGGAATTTTCGAACCCTTAGTTACTCGGTGACTGCTCTCGTATATTCCGACTAAGGCCTTGTTGGACTTCTTCTTCCTCTTCTTTTCTACCGTTCGCTGAAGAACCCATACACAGTAGCGTACGATCTTTATAGATAAAAGACCAACCATTTTAACTTATTTTCCACCGCACCATGGGTTTTTATGTACGAGTTTTTCTTCTGACATATTCGTAACCGTATATAAATCGTTTTGCTATGCCTTTCATGTGCATTCTCCGATTCCAATCCAACTCTGCGAAAAATTACGATGTCGTCCACAATGAATGTTTTTCGTTTATGTGTCCCTTTTCTCTCAACCGAACTTCTTCGTTATTGACTCGTCTGCAACAAAGAGCAGCTTCCATAAAATTACGTTCCGTTTGATCTCCTTTCATATGAGAACACGAAGGGGTAATGGATACCTGCATCATCACATTGGAGTTGCGCATGAGGCAGCTAATGTTTTTATGTAGGATAAGTCACTACTTGGATGATTAGCTTGATATCCTTAAAAAATAAAAAGCTCTCGGCGTTGATCAAACCCTGAAGGACGCGCCATGCATTCGACTTCATTAAGCATCGTTTGGAGATGACTGAATACATATCTGGTCTTTACAATGACTCGCGATGGCCTTGCGATTCATCGAGCCAGTGTTGCTATCCTCCAGACAAGTATGTTACGAATTTGCCGACCCCGGAGGCATGGAAGGCTTGGTTGGGTCCTCATAGGTACGGAGACCATCGACGTGCGCGTTGCAGGGCGCCTCCGACCACTGCACCATACGCGCCCTATTCAACTATAGGGGTGTTAAAAATCTGAACAACACTCGGAACCCCCCATGGGCTTCAAACCTATTAATAGCCCTTCGTGGACTCATGTGCTATCCACCACAGCAAACGAAGCCGTTGGTTCGCTTTCTGTCAGCTTTTTTGATCATATATCATCATCCTTGTGGTTGTATTTCACATCATACCCTACCGGAAAAAATAATAGGCAGTAACTAAAACTTGAAACAATGACAATCAATAGTTGGCAAGTGTGCCATTTCTCTAATTACGTTGATTGTAGCTCAACAACAGCAAAGACAGCTAACTGTAACAGGTTGTGAGAAGTTCGACAAGACAAGAGCAATGACTAACTGTAGTGTATATTGTATTGTATGGTGAAATCACAAGCGTTAACACGTATAGTCTTTAACATTCTCGCGACGACGCCAAATTTTCAGCCTTCATGGGATTTTTTTCGAAATTAAACAGTAATTTTCCGATAACTTAAAAAATATCGCGAGTTGTAATCATGAACGGAGTGTAGAGAGGACTGTGCTCTATCGTTCTATAGGTAAGAGTGCTATTTATGCTTTCTACTTCTGTTCAGCAAACACGAGGTGTTATTTTATTTTTTTATTTACGTACAAGCTGACGTCTCGGCGGATTTCGGACGGTGATTGCATGAGCTCGGGTATAGTTTATCTGATCTCCTGTAAGGTGTGCGGAGACGAACACATTGGAGAAACGGGCAGACCCCTCTGTGTCCACATAAAAGAACACTTAGTCGGCAAACGTAAACCAAATACCCCACTAGGCACGCATAGGACCCAGAGACATAACGGGGACGACTTCGAAGTATGTGTCACGATCCTCGCACGCGAATCGAGAACACAGGCGCGAAAAACTCTCGAGGCACTCTGGATTAATTCCAGAAATCCGAAAATGAACCGCAGGGAAGAATTCCTCATTATCACGCGTGATATTAAGACTAGTATTATTAACAGTATTTAAGACTGTTATTCTGATGGGAAGGGCACATCACGTTTCCACGCGAATTCTGTGCGGTTGGTCTCCACGCGACATACCATACTCAGTGAAAGACTCATAGAAAGCGGTGAGTGTGTAGAGCTGAGCTAAATGTGAATGAAATCTTGGTTTAGCGTTTTCTCTGTTTAGTTATGGAGTTGTTTGGCCGAAAAGATTGCTGTCAACCTTGACCTTTCCAGGCTCTGAGGAAGACGAAATAAAATAACACTTTGTGTTTGCTGAACAGAAGTAGAAAGAATTATTCAATCAATGCCGAGGTTAATAGAAAGTCGGACGTGGGAGCTATTTATGCTATTTATACTGTGGTATTGTGGTACTATGGTCCACATTACTGTCAGTATTTGGAAACGTTCTGCAATTTATCGACTCCAATTCCAGTACTTTCTATACCTGCAGGCTCTATACGATAACTGTCATTCACTATAGCAATTAACATTGGGACAGTTCTGTAAATATATACTATAAATATACGTTTATTATACATATAGTATTGAAACCTACAAATTCTTTGCATATTTTTATGTGCACAATAGCGCTTTTCCCGATCAACACCCAACCAAACATCTGTGTCCAACAAGCTATTAATGGATAACAAAAGTATAGGAAAGTAGTTCTATGTGTTACAATAAACCACCGGAAAGAAAATGACACCTATAGGTGTTACTTGCCCCGAGAATATTAATACTATGATTCCACAACTCTTCTCGTTAGTTTCGATGTCTTAACAAAGTTAATTACAGCGGAGTCAAACAAATAGTTAAAAGGTAATGAAAACTTTGCTTACAGTTCCACTAAAATTACCTACCAAAACCTCAGAAGAGGGATAACAGAGGACCAAAAGTAGAAAAAACACTCAAGAACTTACTTTTTGTTGACATCTTCATCCTTACTTATCCCAAATTTAGGAACTGACAATGCTGTCCTTAACACAAAAGAACCTTGGTACAAGACAATCAAGAACTTCTTTTGAAAATGAGAGGTAAATCCTTACTTCTTCTCTAAATCTCCACTTTTGTTGCCAGTTTCCGCAGATCCAGAAGGCATCGTCGACCTTAACTACAAATGAGGTGAAACAACTTCTTTCTTCAGTATTAGGCTGCTTGGAAACCACTGCACGTTTCCTATGTTTAACCCATGGTTGAGGCGAAAACCGA